TGTGTGTGATTGTTGCTGTTACTCTGTAAAGTTGACTTCTTGGTGAATCTAACTGAAACTTGGCCATCTCATGCTTCAAAGTCTCAATTCCAAGTACTAAGAAGTCAATGGCAATTTTTCAGTTTCTTTGTTTCTTGTTCACTCTTTGCAATACAAAAATAAGTAAAAAGTTCAGGGTATACCTAAGAGTTTACAGTGGTAAGAATATTCTGAAAAAGAGAATAAGTTGCATATCTTGACTTTACTGATTTAAAGATGTTTCATTCACTAGCACCCAATAGAATCTTTAAGTTGATGGCACCCGACACTGTTTTTAAAGTAGCATGCAGTTCAAAGCAACGGGTTGTGATTTTTTTCACAAAAATAATAGGTAAAATTAAATCACGTCAAAGTAAAAAATTGATTAAAAAGTAACATGCAATGTCCAGCAAATTATTGTGAGTGCAAGCAACATTAATATTGTGACATAAGGAAAGGTTTTCTTCCTTCAGTGAAACGTGTTTTATAGACTCTACACATCCAGATGTATGATAAAAAAAAAAAGCCTAACTATAAAATAGGCACTTTCATTTATTTATACTTAATTTTTACTCTATAAATTAACTTTCTTTGTTAAATACTCAGACGTGGTTCCATTGGTCAGATTGAGCTCTGTGATATTCTCTGGCGTTTTTCCTAGTTTAGCACCAGGGTATACTTATTTAGCAGTTTGTTTTTTAAATTAGTGTGATGGAATTAAATTATTTTTTGTAATTTATTTTTAAGAATATTATATATAAAAGGCAGGTAAAGGTAAAGGCCCTCCCATTGATCGTCGATTTGCTCCAGCGGGCCCAGTAACGTCTCCATTGGAGACTTTGTTGTTACTGTGTCTGGCATATCGAATACTCTCGGTAGCTTGCCGGGCTCTCCGAGAGGGGCGGAGGAATCGAACTCGGGTCGGCCATGTTGGCTGCGTGCAAGGCAAACGCCCTACCACTGTGCTATCGCCCCAGAAGAATATTATATATATTATATTATATATATGATTGATTTTATTTTTTAACGTTGTTGGTCACACTGGGTGATGCTCAGGGCTTACTCCTGGCTCTACACTCAGGAATTATTCCTAGTGGTTCTCGGGGAACAATTTGTAATGCCAGGGATTGAACCCAGGTCAGCAGTATGCAAGGTAAACCCCCTCCCCACTGTACTATCACCTTAGTCCCAGATGATTTATTTTATATTCTTTTAAACTAAAGGGAATTTGGTTTAAGTATTCATTGCCACAAATTTTAAGTTTAAACACTAAGAATTATGGCTCCTTTCTTGCTGTTTCTTGGAACAGAAAGGTTAACTTTATTCTGTTTAATTAAAATTTTGACTCGCTTTGATTAGAGTTCAGGCAGCGTGATTCTAACAGTGATCACTTCCATGGTTTACTGTACAGAGATATCACACCCTCACCGCCACCAAATATCCAGGACCTTCCCCCGCTCTCCCGTGTGTCTGCTGGTCAACCACTGCTTCCGTTTCTGCCCCTCACTGGGAATCTCAGTGTTGCGACTGAAGGCCAACGGTTTGACTCCACTTGATAGTGCTTGTTCCCTTGTTTTGTTTTTCTGTGTAGTGCAGATAAATGAGGTCACGCTATACTCATTCTCCCCCAAGCTTGTTTTTCGTAACACAGTGTCCCCCAATTTCATCCAAATTGCAGAAAGCGGAAGGGTTTCCTAGCTGCATATTCTTCATTATGGGTCTGTGTCACAGCTCCTTTGTCCTCATCAGTCATTGGGCATTCAGGGTGTTTTCGCATCCTGGATATTGTCCTTGGTGCTGCAGTGAACATCGATGTCCATGTATCATTTTGGTTAATGTTTTTGCTTCTTGGACTGGATGCCACATCAGGAGTGAGCCCTGAGCAGAGAACCAGGAGTAAGTCCTGACCCCAGCCGGGTGTGGCCCGCAAACAAGCATGCATGATTTTTTAGACTTCTACTGTCTGATTTCTTTAGATACTGAGCTTGGTGATATTTTTAATAGAAGGTATTTGTTGGTTGGACTGTGTAAGCGTTTATATATTCTTTGTGACTCACTAGAAACATGGAAAGGAAAGCATGAAGACCAAATATTTACCTATTTTTAAGTAATATTTCCTTGTCAGCTTTTCTGTCAGTATAATGCCTGTAAGCAGGAGATAACCCACCTGCTGCATTTTTTGGACTGTTGCAATCTTTTTACATAGGGATCTTTTTTAAAAATATTTTTAAATTGAGATTCTGTAGTTTACAATGCCATTAATAGTGGTTTCCTATGCATATAATTCTAACACCACACCTATCACTAGTGTACCCCTCCCTCTCCCGAGGACCCCAAGTCTCCTCCCTCCAAACCCTCTTCCTCTAATTTCTGCCCTCAGAAATGTGATATCGCCACCATACTGATTCAACCACACTCTGGCGTCACTAACAAGCTTCAAACCTGTTTCTTCAAACTGCACCCATGATAGAAACTCTTAAGTTCATAAAGAATGTGTATAGGGGGCTGGAGTGATAGTACAACAGGTAGGGTGTTCATCTTGTATGAGATTGACGCAGGTTTGATCTCCGGCACCCTGCATGGTTCCCCAAGCACCACCAGGAGTAACCCCTGAGTGCAGACCTAGGAGTCAGCCAGAGCATCACCAGGTATACCTACCCCCCCAAAAAAATCTGTATGGAAGTATGTTCTACTTTTACTCTACAGGTTGTTTTGGAATAACGGTAAAAGCAATACAGTTTTCTTTGCATTTTGTAATCAGTGAATATTTTTCTAATACCATATAGTAGAACACCAGTTTCTCAGATGGTAGTTTTGTATGTATTTTAGCAAGTATTTGACATAGCTAGTTATTTCTTTAACAAAATTTTATTGTTAAAAGTTTGAGCCACAAAGCATCATATATATAGCAATTATGGTTTTTGTGTTTTTTTTCCTGTAAATATTTTACACACACATATCATATCTAAGGCAGGGTTCCTAGAGAAACATGATCAATTGGATGTGTGCATGTTTGTTTATAAGTATAGATAGATAAATCAGTAAAGAGAGATAAGGATATTTTATTGTATGGAATTGACTCATGTAATTATGGAGCCTGACAATTCCCAGCATTAATAAATCTACACACTGAGTTGGAAGGCATGGCAACTAGGAAAACCTGTGGTGTGGTTCCGTTCTGAAGGCAGAAAAATTGAAATCCAGCAAGACCTATTTCTGTTTATATCCAGGGGCAAGAAAAAAGTAGATGTCCTAGGTCAGAGGTAGCCAAGCAGAAATAACTTTGTTACTTGGAGAGCGTAGAATGAGCCATTCTGTTCAGATTCTTTCAGGCCTTCTGCTGACTAGATCAGGCATCTTTACATTTGGAACAGCAATCTGCTTAGACCATTTGAATGTTAAGTTCATCCGTAACACTCTCCCAGAAATATCCAGGGTAGTATTTGGCCAAATATCTGGGCATCCATTCATCTATCAAGTCAACGCCTAAAATTAATTTTTATACTTCCATACAAAACTATTCAGCAAGCATTCAGGTTTATAACCTACTTCCAAAAAATGTTAATTGTTATAGACATGTATAAAAATTAACATATTATAACTCATTTCACATATTCACAAGTAAGCACAACAGGGAATCTTAAAGTACTGCCAATATCCTAAAGAATAACAGGACAGAATTTATTAAAAGAATATATTTTTCACCAGGAATGATCTCTGAGCACAGAACCAGGAGGAAGCCTTAAGTACCACTGGTTGTGGCTGAAAAATCCTCCCCCAAAATAAAAGAAATATGTTTTAAGTAGACAATTAGTCTATTTTGCTACTGCTATGAAGTTTTTCCGTATATGAAAAGTTCACATATGAAGTTCTTTGAAAACAAGGCTCGAGAGAAGTCTGATACGAATAATCTGTACTAAGGCTGGAGCAGTAGCACAGTGGGGAGGGCGTTTGCCTTGCATGCAGACGACCTGGGTTCGATTCCCAGCATCCCATATGGTCCCCTGAGCACCGCCACGTGTAATTCCTGAGTTCAGAGCCAGGAGTAACCCCTGTGCATCGCGGGGTGTGACCCAAAAAGCAAAAACAAACAAACATTAAAAAAAATAAAAAACCAAATAATCTGTACTGTGCTGTCTCAAACTTCATGCGTATTTAATTGAACACAGTAGGCACATGTTAAACACTTGCTGTGTACAACTGTGTCAGTTGCCACGAGGGATAATAAACTGTGTCAGACTCCGTCAAGAAGAGAAGCGCACACTGTAACTGGATTATAGGTTGTACTGCTCATCAGTTATTTCATTAGAGATGCAAATGAAATACAGATTATTATAGGGTAGATTTTTGTATACAAGTTTGCAATGTATACAATATACTGATAACGTTATTGCTAGCATTCCACGTGGGAGAATGACAGATCTTTGATACTGATAGATAAGGAAGTTCTCTAAAACAATTTCAAAGAAGTTGAGAAAAATCAGCCTAGATGCAGCGATCTCCAGTGAAGTCTTAACAGAACTCACTAGATTGAAATGATCATACACCAAGCAAGACCAAGTGGGATTGATATGAGGCATGTAAGGATAGTTGAACACATGCTACTGATAGTGGAACTGAGGTTACTGAACGAGTAGGGGTGGGAAGGGGAGCACGTTAGAAATGACACAGGACAGTGAAGGATGAATACCGACCCTTTGGTGGTGGTGGACAACCATAACTTCATACACCAAAAATGGAAATAGTAGCAGTATTGTGAAAAAACTCCCCCCCCCCCAATTTTTTTTAAGTTGAAATGCCGGGCCAGAAACCACTGTTTTTTAATTTATTTTTGTTTGATACTCGCATAAGTTTATGCAAAAATATAAAAGCATAATTTTCTCAATTTGTGTTTTGTGTGTTCTTTGCGACAAAAATAATATAAAATACTTGCTATTTTTAATGTATATGATCATTAAATGTTTTTAAAATTCTCTTCCTAGATCCACATTTATTCTCTTGGAATGACATTATATTGGGGGGCTGACCATGAAGTCCCTCAGAGCCAAGTAAGTTTTAAAGTTTTATGCTTGTGAATTGTGTATTGCATGCTGTTAGACTCACCAGCATTTCTCTGCTAGTAGCTCACATTAATAATGCCACACATGAAAGTAAAAAAGTAGAATGCTATGAAAAATCCCTAGAATAACAACCATCATCATCCCTTTCGAAACAGTTGTAGTCTCTGAGATATAGTGGACTCCTTTAAATGAGTACATTTTAATTTCTTCTAATTTAATGACTGTTTATAGGGTTAATACATATAATTGTTGCTTCATTCTTGCATTGATAATTACCATTTTGATGCAAAATCTGTAGGAATAATAGCGTCAGTGATGGCTCAGAGTATAATTTATACTTCGAGGCTGGAGCAATAGCACAGGGTGTTTGCCTTGCACGCAGCTGACCTGGGTTCAATTCCCAGCATCCCATACAGTCCCCTGAGCACCGCCCGGGGTAATTCCTGAGTGCAGAACCAGGAGTAACCCCTGTGCATCAACGGGTGTGACCCAAAAAGCAAAAAAAAAAAAAAAAATTTATACTTCATCACTTTCTTTTGTCGTGTTACTTCACAATCATATTTTGGTATTCTTATACCAGTAGACAGTTAATAAAATAATGCTTTTATTTTAATAAAATAGATTCTGATGTCCCCTGGTTATTTCCAGTCATTATTTCCTAAAATAATTTTGTTTCTAAAGATTCATTATAAATATACTAGTAGCTAGTAATTAAAAATTACTAAAAGAATTAAAAATTTTAAAAAGAATTAAAAATTCTTTAAAATGAAATTAAGTTTATTTCATCAAAGCCAAATTTCATATATGGCATTTGATCTTATTTTAACCTCCAGAGAGCTTAATGTACCCAAAATATGCATGTTGCTCTTCAACTTGGTCTAGCCCCATTCTGCATCAGGAAGAACATTGTGAATTTGCCTTCTCACCCAGTTCCAGGTTTTTTGTTTGTTTGTTTGTTTTGGGGGGGCCACACCCAGCAATGCTCAAGGGGTTACTTCTGGCTTTGCACGCAGGAATGACTCCTGACAGTGTTCAGGGAACTACACGGGACTCCGGGGATCAAATCTGGGTCAGTTGTGTGTAAGGCCACTGTACTGTCGCTCTGGCCTCTCCAGTATTATTAATATAAATGAGAACAAAATATTGTTACTTCAGATAATTATATATTATACAGCTTATTTACCTGTCATATATGATCCAAATTACATTTAATATCTTGTATTCTGTGCTCTGACAAAGGAAAAATAAAGTCAAATCTTCAGTATCTAAGTTGGATAAAACATATACATTTTTACTTTTATGTTGCTATTAGAAATTATAATCATTTTGTAAATATTTTCTTTCTTGGTATTCTTATTGACCACTTGGATAAAAATAACCTACAGATTACATCTAATTAGAAGAAACATAGGCATTGGAAGTATTTGATTTTTTTTCCCTAAGTTATTCCATGAGTATCAAATTTATCTAATTATATTTTATATGTATTGAATATCACATTTATTGAATATTATGAATTGTCTAATCCACCAAAATGAGATTTATCAAACTATCTGACAAGCTTTTTATCATACTAGGAACCAGAATTTTTCCTTATTCCACTTTCCATCTGGAAGATGTTCGTTAAACATCTTCTAGTAGATGGCTGCAAAGATACTACAGTGGGTAAGGTACTTGCTTCGCAAGCAGCCAACCCAGGTTTGATTACCCGCACCCCGTGTGGTTGGGTCCCTGAGCACCACCAGGAGTGATCTCCGAGTACAGAGCCAGAGAACTCAAGTACTACCAGCTGTGCCCCCCAGACCCCCCCCAAAAAAATTTTTTTTTTGCAGTATAAACGGTTTAAGAATGCATTACTCGATGAGCACAATTCCTGTAATTTCCGGAGCATCTTGTCTCTCGTTAGGTAAAATTTATTCACACCTATCAACATATCTTTTTTTGCCTTCTCACGTTCAGCCTATCAAGCTTGGAGACCACCTCAACAGTATCCTCCTTGGGATGTGTGAGGACGTCATTTACGCACGCGTGTCCGTTCGGACAGTCCTGGATGCGTGCAGTGCCCACATCAGGAACAGCAACTGTGCGCCTTCGTTCTCCTACGTGAAGCAGTTGGTCAAGCTCGTTCTGGGAAATCTCTCTGGGGTAAGCTACAGACCCAGCCTTTCATGTCCTAGACTACACTAGCCAGCCTCTAAGGGGGGAGACATGCAGGTGAAACAGACCTGGATTCGCTTTCTAAAACCCCTTTGAGAAGTGCTGCCCTGCACAGGCCCCTTCACTGGGTGCACGAGCAAATAGAGACCCCCCACAGCTTGAGGACCTCAGTTTTCTGTCAGTTCAGGTATCATCGTATCAAGCCACCCTTCCTCCAAGACTTTGATTCTCTTGGCTGATTTTACTCCCATAGTAAAGGTGCTAAAAATCTTTTTATGTATGTATTTATTTATTTATTTAATTTTATAGACTAGTTCACAACATTTGATTCCATTTAATATTCAAACACCAGTCCCACCACCATGACATCTTCCCACCACATTATTTTGGGTGTTACCATCCTGAACCCCTGTCTCTGCCCCAGGGCAGAACCGAAATGATATATTTTGTGTTGTTTGTCATGAAAAACCGCTGAAAATGCTACAAAAAAAACTATCCTTAGAGGACAAAGTATGGGGATTGTTTAAAAATCTTTTTCCTTTATGTCGTGCCATGGAGAAATACTCCTAGCGGCAGGGGAAGTGCTTTCTTTCAGAGCCGGAGCATGGACGTTGGCGGTGGGAGCCAGGCCCTCCCGCTGGGTTCTCAGACCCGCCCTGGGACTCACCCACCGGGGTTGTGGGGGGACACCATCAGAGGTGGCCTCCTTCCCCCAAAAAGAAACATTTCTTTGTTGTTGTTTTTTTATCTTGGGGTTTATTCTTATTTACTTGGGGGAAAGGGAAATAACACAAATTTCAGAAATAATTGCAAATAATTGTCTTCTTTTAAGTAGTAAACATATATTTTAATATATCACCTTAGATTTTGAATTCATATTCAAACAAGTTTTGACAACGAAGGAATACTTAAATGCCTGTGAATCTATGGAAACGCATGTGTGTATGCGCTTAGTGCCAAACTTAGATAATTTTTCTTCACTATTATCTCTCTCCGAAGTTTTCTTATACCAGAATTACCGTGTTTTAAAACTATAGTCTAAGTTTTGAGGCAAAAGTAGTTATTAATTTTGGGATAAAAATATTTCCACTTTTTTGTTTTTAAAATAGCACAGCGGGTAGGGCGTTTGCCTTACACGCGGCCAACATGGCCAACCCGAGTTCGATTCCTCCGCCCCTCTCGGAGAGCCCGGCAAGCTACCGAGAGTATTCGATATGCCAGACACAGTAACAACAAAGTCTCCAATGGAGACGTTACTGGGCCCGCTCGAGCAAATCGACGATCAACGGGAGGGCCTTTACCTTTACCTTTACCTTGTTTTTAAAATAGGACTCATCTCTGCTCCTTTAACATAGTGGACTTTGTTCCCAAGATAGTGGATTATTCGTTGAGAACTCTTGCCTTTTATTTCCTGAAGGTGAAGATATAAGTTTTGGATAGGAACTTACCCAAGAACTATATCAATAACAAATGTTGAGTGTTTTTAACGTAGTAATGTGTTTTTAATGTATTTTAAGGTAACACCTCTCAGATTGTTTAGTGTCATTCTGTAGTTAACCAAAGAAGCTAGTGGGCTCTTTTCTTTTTTTTTATTGTTGTTCTTTTGTTTTGTCTTTTGTCAAATTTGATTCACCATCACCTGTGTCCAGATGGATCAACTATCCCATAACAGTGAGCAGAAGCCTGATCGAAGCCAGGCTATTCGAGACCGATTGAGAGGAAAAGGTTTGCCAACAGGTAAGAGAATGTGACCAGGAAGTGTTTAGGTGTTCGCCTTTTCTGTTTTTCCCTTGAAAAGAGTCATACTTCGATGACTTATAAATAGAACTACTGAGACCATAAGTGTGCAAAGAGGAAGTAGAGAGACCAGAGTATTGACTAGATTCATAGATGAATCTACTAAAGTAATGCAGAAAGCGTTTTTCATATAGTCAGTACTCCCCATCAATTATTTTCTATCAGATACCGTTACAGCAGTGACATCATTTACTTACTTTATTATGGGATTATTTATTTAAAATATATTTTAAAGCTAGATAATAAATCATACATGCCTATGAACATAAATGCTAATGAAACAAATTTCAGAACGCAGCATTATTCTCACTTGCTCTATTATTTCCTGTTTCCTTTTTTGCAAGTTCTAGGTATAGCCCACTGAATTGATCTTATGAGCAACCAATTTCATGATTTATAATTACTAAATACTGCTTTAGGTTATATGATACTTATAGTGAATAAAAAAACTAATGAGCAGTGATTTTGTTTTCTGCCAAGAGTATTTTTATAACTCCTATTTAATTAAGTTTTCCACCCTTCTCGGAGAGCCCGGCAAGCTACCGAGAGTATCTCACCCGCACAGCAAAGCCTGGCAAGCTCCCCGTGACGTATTCGATATGCCAGACACAATAACAAGTCTCACAATGGAGACGTTACTGGGCCCGCTCCAGCAAATCGATGAACAACGGGAGGACAGTGCCACAGTGCTATTTTTACATAGATTAGTAGAAATTCCAAAAATATATAATTAGGATAGAAAAAAAAAATTTTACCTGGAAGTTTTTCAGTGTAAATTTTCGACTTGACCTCTTCATAAACTCTTGATTTTGATAGTAAATGTTCTCCTTTTACTTCTGATCGAGCAATGTTAATAAATATTAATTGAACATTCAAAATATTTTTAAGTGAAATATTTTATTGTCAAATCTCAGGGCTGGGAAGGAGCAAATAGTTGCTACTCAAATATAAAGCTTTCTAGTTGATCAGATAATTAGAACACAGATACTTAGAATTTATGAAGATTCTCTGTGAAAATAAAATATAAAAGACTCGATTATCTTGCACAATCCCTAACCCTGACATGCAAGAGGGAAGAATGTAAAGTAAGCAGGTCGGACTGCTCTTTATGTGAAGTTACATAAAAGCATTAACTTGTTTCTAATAGAGTGGTTCTATATAGGTGCAGTGAACTTTGGGGGCACTTCCATTTTACTTATTGCAAATGTGGACATTTTTCTGAAATAGTATCTTAGCTTTTATATCATCAGTAGAATAAATTTGTTCCTGATATATAATTTTTGTAAAACATACATTATTAGTTTTTGCATGATTCAAAAAGTCTAGAGAGTAGACTTTTACATGTTTATAATGCTTAAGGGAAATTTAAAACGTTTTTAACTTTATAATTTTTTTACTAAGTGAAACCCTGGAGTCAGACTCTGTTGCTTTATTTGTTAGTTGTTGATGAAGTAAATGTGTTGCTCATTATTCCTTTTAAAGTGTTTTTCTAGGAATAAGAATTGTTATTTTATCATTTTACCTCTACTCACCATCAATCTATAGAAAAGAAAAAATAGTTATCCTGCTGTATTTAACTTCCAGAATTTTCAAGACATTATCATATCTGAATGTCATTTAGTTGATGTTATTTTCAATGATCGGTATACTATCATCGGCATTGATTACTATATAATATTGTAGAGTAGCAGTGAAAGACTGAAATGAATCTACCACTGGACACATACATTATGTAACAAATTATTTGCTGATCATTCCTATAGGTTATATGTTTGGGAGAGCGGTGAGTCGGGGGCTGCCCAGTCCTCAGGGGTCACCCTCAGTAGTGTTGGCGGCACCCTGTGGTGACAGGGGTCAAATTGGACTTCTTGCACCTGAGACAGGACCTGCTCTCAGCCTATCATCACTGCTGCCCTCTGCGTGCTCTTTAAAAATAATCATAATAAAAGACACGTTTTAAAGTGAGACTTGGGACTTGAGAGCTAGTATGAAAGTCCAGGCTTTTTGCCTTGCCTGTGGCTGGCCATAGTTCAATCCCTGCCCCATCCCAGCTCCACCTGGTACCCTGAGCATCAACTGGGCCCTTCCCTCCACCCCCTAATACCACGGGCAAAGTTCAGTTTTCTACATATGGGTGGGAGATGGGAAATGGTAGGTACTTGGGTTAAGTGGAACCCACCATCTGAAGTACATTCACCAGAGAGAGGGGCTTGGCCCAGAGATGGTGGTGCTCGGGACCTACTCCTGACTCTGTGCTCAGGGCACAGAGCCAGGAGTGGTACCAGGAAATAAGCATCGGCCTCCTGCGTGCAGAGCATGTTCTCAGCTCCTTGGGCATCTCTTTGGTAGTATCATTTGTATGGGATGCTAAGACAGCACAAATACTTGTTCCTTGGATGAATAGGAGTCAAGGCTTTATACAAATATTAGATATAATACATTTGTACTATAATTTGGGATGGAGGTGGACTGCACCCAGCACCACTTCTCAGGGGCTATTCCTGGCCTGTGCTCAGGAATGACCCCCAGCCATGCTTGGGGGCAGTGCCTGGGATTCAGAGCGGAACTGGTAGGGTCAGAACACCAGCCTTAGCCCTGGACCATCTCTCTGGCCCTCTGATGGCTTCTAAAGAAATTTCTGATTTATTTTTCAGATGACCGATTTTAAACTCTAAGTTGATTACAACTTAAAAAGAAAGATAAGCTATAGTTAATCACTGGGGCTCATATTATTAGACTGTTTCCTTACAATAATAGAAAGGTCAAGTTTTATTGTTTTATCTTTGGTTTGGAGGGGGCACACCCAGTGATGCTCAGGGGCTTAGGAGCTCATAGCAGGAGATCCACCTGGCAGTGCTCGGGAGACCCTGTGGGGCTGGGGATTGGAGCCCAGGCCTTCTGCATGGGACACATGCTCCAGCCTGCTCTGCCATGTCTATGGCCTCAGAAAAAACTGATGTGTGTGGTGCCAAAGATCAAACTTAGGCTCTCACATAGACAAGGCACATGGTGTATCCCAGGCCCTGAAACGTCATTTTCAAGGAAATGATTAATGTCTTTTACTTATGACTCTGTTCTTATAATATTAAGAAACATTTAATGTTAATTTAATATGAAGAAGCGTTTAATGTTATTATCTAATATCACTTTTTTTCCCCATACGGTATTGGAGCACAAACCTCGGGCCTCCCACGCACAAACATCCACTGAGCTTCATTCCCAGCTCTAATGGCACTTTAGAAATCTGGGACCCGGGACTTGAGCAATAGGACAGCAGGGAGGGCGTTTGCCATGCACGCAGCCAACCTGAGTTCAATCCCTGGCATCCCATATGATCCCCTGAGCACTGCCAGGAGTAATTCCTGAGTGCAGAGCCAGGAGGAACCCCCGAGCATCACCAAGTGTGACCCCAAAAGCAAAATAAATAAATAAATAAATAAGAATTCTGGGACCCAATAGATTTTCCAGATGCAAATATCCTAGGACTGTCTGTAGTAACCTGGAGAAAGCATGGAGGGGTTTACTTGGAAAAAAAAAGAAAGAAAAGAAAAACCTTTAGATTATTCATTGATTTAACTCCCTTAAGAGTCATACATTAATGATTTAATGCTTCAGAGCCAAGGGCCTTCCTGGTGGCACTGCCAGGCTGCACAGGCTTCTGGGGTCAGTACGAGGGCCCAGCGTGGAGGGCCAGGACCCCCCAGGACCCCAGCAGCAGTGCTGGGCAGCAGATCTCTGTCCTTGTGTGTGCACGCTTACCCCTGCACCAGCTCCCAGCGATCATAATCGTGTCTCTTTCTGGAAGAATTCATTTTTGCCTAGTCGTGGCCCGGGAGAATTTGCAAAGAATTATTTTTTGCCTTTATACTTAGAGCTGAATTAGAAGTTCTTAAACTTTTGGAAACGACAGCCTTGTTTGGAAGAGGATTCCTGCATCCATGAATTTAGACATTGTTTTCCACAAGAGAACTGTACGGAGGCTTCTTTAATTTACCTTTAACCAGTGTGCAAAGCCTTGTCTCAGAACGGGTTTAAAAGAGTCTACTGACTATAACCATTACCAGAAGAATCAGTTAGCAACTAATAATCAGTGGCATAAACTGTCTTTAAAAACTTGTGAAAATGGTTTCCACAGTACTCCTGCATTAAAAAATAAATAAAAAAATAAATAAAAACTTGTGAAAATGGTGGAGCTCCTCCTGAAGAAGAAACATCCTTCTAGAACAGCACTGTGGCTTTGCGTCCTGCCGGCTCTTGGCTGTCAGTGGCCCCTTGCTCAAGCAGAGTGACCCTGCCCGCCCACTCTTGGTCATGCCTTTGTTCTCGCCCATGCAGCCCCGTTGTGGGTCTGAGCCCTTGGCTGCGGTGCGTGACTTCCTCAGACTCCTCCTCACAGTTTTCACGTGACATTGAGCAGTGAGACACAAACTTGGAACCGAAGAAGTAATTTTAGGGGCAGTGCCTTGTATTTAAGTAGTTTGGATATTCAGGTAAAACTAATGTAAGGTTTCATCTGTCAATAAATGACCTTAAAAGGCTTCTCCTCCCGAGATGTGTCGTAGAAGCTAAGATCTAAACTAGTGGGCCATCTGCCTCCACTTTGTTATTTAATATGGACCAGTGCTGAAGAAAGCAAACATTTCCTGCCAAGCTCGGTGGAAACCAACACCCTGATCAGATCAGTACGATAGTGCTTCAGAACTTGTGCGTATTGATAATATCGTGTTTCTTTTTTTTTTTTATGTACTCAAGCACACTTGTAAGGACAGATGGGGAATTAGAGACCCTCTTTTATTACCCAACTGTCATGGGGAAGTTGCCTACTAAGACATGATGTGAAGTGGTACAATTTTTTTGTGTGAGGGAGGAAAAGTAAATGATGATATCCAGTTAACGATAACGTTAATCACATGTAACAAAAACAGTTCAACCACAGTGTT